CATTGCACCAGTCCACTTTCTGACGTGAAAAACTTGGGTCACTGACGCGACACGACCGTCAAGACTGGTGCGAAGATTCGACAGAACTGAGACCGGTTAGAAGTGAGAATACCGTTTTACGTGACTCGATAAAACTGATTGAAACTAGGTCAACTGATTCGAACATGACTGGATATTCAATCTGCAGGGTGTTGACCCCTTTTTTTGAGTTTGCTTTTCCACTACTAAAAGCGGACTTAACCTCTCTCTCCTCATCCCGTTCGCCAAGCAACTCCAACACACCAAGTACTGCTTCCAAGAGACAGATCCTCAGACGTTTTTTCTCAGAACGAAAACCAACCACGTGAACCGCATCCAGGTGTCCAATTCCTAAAAGATGATGGCGCGAGTGGAGTCTACTGCCCTTATTTGGTGTTTGTAATCTCTCTACGAATATAAAGTTAGTTGGACACCAGCGGTGTCCAAGACAAACAGTAGACATTGAATCTTGGATCATGGTAATTGGAATGATCTTGTCTACAACGAATGCAAAGGCTTCTCAAAAAAGCTTTAGACAGTGACAGCTAGGAAACAGCTTTAGTTATATACATGGAGGCCATGGAGGTTCTTTCATTCTTTACATCAGCCAACGACTCCAAACCTTCACACCGACCTCGAGCGACGGGCCGACCTCGAGGCCCTCGACGAGTGGTACAGCGATCCCTGGGCCAGTCCAGGCCGGCCGTGTTTTGTGCGTCCTCGGAGTAGCGGGCCACACGGGATGACCGGTGCACCTGTCTTGCATGAAAGAAGGCATGCTGTTTGGTTGGGAGAATGATTGAACAAAAGGGTATAGTATAGTACATTATCAATATTAATAGTACCTTCTTTGCAGCTCACATGAAGATCCAAGCGGAATCGTTTCGCGGTGTGAACCTCTTTTGGAGCCACGGCTCTTATTTCGCGGTTGAGCGGGCGAGCTACGCGGGGATCCATCTTCTCGAGATCGGAGCGGGGAGTTCCCCTTGCCCCGGTCGTTGAGGAGATTTTGCTTGAAAAAAAGTTCTGTAAGTACACAACAAGTGGTTATTTCACCTGTAAGTAAACATTACACCAGAAATCTAGGTGATTATTGTGGATATTTGTGGTGCATTTCGGCGGGTGTCGGCACTTTTTCCATCCACAGTAGACTCAGCACTCGAAGTTACAACAGAAGCAATGATGTGACATGTCACACCTTTTGCTATGTTTGATGTCAGTCGTGCCATCAGATATATTTCCTGACAAGAAAAATACATACAAATACCAAGAGTAGTTCCTGCAAGCAGGAGGCCCCGGCCCCTGTGTTGTCCAAGCTAAGTAAAGAAAAGGTTTCTCGCCTCAGAATTCATATCTAAATTCAATAGTAGATCAATCAATGGCCCCAACATGTGAATGTGTAATCGGCATGACGCAATTTGTTGCGAGCAAGCAAGACTCTATCCTTGAGTGTCGTGCTATCTTCGAAAGGGTTCGGCAACCACACAGAGAGTTTGCGTGAAGATCAGCAGGTAGATGAGACTCAGGCAGTCTTCTACCTGTCGTCTACATCTTTGCCTGAACACTGATCTTCTGCCCATCCAGTCAGTCCATCTCAATGCCACTTTCTCGAAGCAGAATTCTGGAGGGATGGGGGGGTGAAATTGTCTCCACTCCTCTCGCAAAGAGCTAGGGGAGAATCCAAAGAGATAGCCCCTTCAAAAAACAGTCTTCGTCTCACTCTCACTAATTAGTAGCAGTAGTAGTGGTAGTGGTAGTAGCAAGTAGTAGTAGTAGTAGTCGTAGTAGTAGTAGTAGTCGTAGCGGTAGTAGTAGTAGTAGTAGTAGTAGTAGTAGTAGTAGTCGTAGTGGTAGTGGTAGTGGTAGTGATAGTGATAGTCTCGCAGAGCAGGTTTTCAGGTCAGAGTTCTATGATCTATGACTCAAGCAAAAGCTAAGCAGAAACTGAGCAAGAATCTGAAACGGAACCAATAGAAAAAATAGAAAGCTTAGCTAAAACCAAATAAAGTAAACAAACATGACTCATGACAGCAACAAAATGGCAGAAGACACTTTTTATGAGTCCCACACCCAAACACGTACAATTCAGGGGTTTGGAATAGTTTTGGGGTTTGTTTTGTTGTTTCCTCCCACTTAACTATTTAGGATTCAATATTAACATCCAAGAGCCAGAGTGGTAGGCCGCATGGGCGATGGAGCTAGGGCCATGGCGGCCATGGGGTTGGACCAAAAGGGGGTTGGGACCATGAGATTGAACTAGTGATTGGTGCTTCTGAACAAGAACAGTCTAGTTCACTGGTGGTTGTTCACATCTACACAACACAGAAGGCAAGAGACTGAACACAGAAAGACCAACACGATACACGGAAAGAATGAACCAAACATGTAGGTGATTCAAACATATAAGTTATACAACAAAAGTCAAGTCTTTGTATGTTGGTTTGATTTATTGATTGTGTTTTTAAACACAAACAACAGTGACAACAAGGAACAACAAACGACCAAAACGCTAAAGGCAGTTAAACAAACAGTCTTCATGTGTTGTTCTTTGTTTTGTTTGTCATTATTGTTTGCATGTTTTTTACTGGTGTGTTGATTGTTTCTTGTTTTTGCTCATACACAATACGTTTGATAAGGTTGGGCAGTTGGGCCTTGTCCGGAAGGTTTGGCAACGACTGGTGAGTGAACATCTACACTGGCACTATACAGATGCACCAAAAGCTGCATATATATACATATTACCCAGACACTCCATGTATGCCGTATATGCCTACATTGGGGTGGTTTGAGGGGTCAATGTAGGCATATATGGCATACATGGAGTGTCTGGGTTATATGGTGCTCCCCCTTCCAAAGTCTACCATTTTTAACGTTTCATTTGTATATACCTTGACCATCCTGTTTAGGTGTCCTGTCTGGAGATCCTGGATAGTAGCGTAGGGTAGTCCGGCCAGGACACCCAAACAGAATGGTCTTGGTTAGGAGTGGTCCTTATCATTCCCCCCAACGCAATGCTCCACCTGAAAACTACCGGTAATTGCACGTTCGGGAATGTTTCAGGTGTCTCATTTGCTCTTCAGAAGTTCACCGTCTCAGCACCGATCTCCACAATGGATCGATCTGTGCGGCTTTCGGGACGCTGCTTTCGACCGACTGCTGCGTGCTACGGCGGAGGCATCAAACGGAAGAGTTCCTCGAACTCACGTGGGGACAGGTGGGGTGAGATGAGACCGTGCCACTGTTGCAGTTCGGGAAGATGTTCTTCGGTGTATTTTTAGTTCTGCAGTTTGGGCAAGGGTGCCTTTGAATGCTTTTTAGAAGCTTGACCCAACTCGAACTCGCTGTTGGACCTTACAGTTCTTTTTCCAGCCAACTGTTCCAGGAGTCAGGAGTTGTAATATATTTTCATGTCATGGGGTTCCATGATGGTTGCATGCAGCGGGTTGCTTTTGTTTCTTGTGTGTGACCACGGTTCACACGGAAACAGGACTGAATAGCGAGGTCACAAATAGAACACACGATTGCTATTGATTCCCACTATCTGAGTTGGGGTTGTTCTGAAGTGTCCATTCGCAGCCGTCGATCCTCAGCGTCATCGATCCGCAGCTCCGAAAACGGGCGCGCCGTTGGAACACTTCGGCTTCGTTTCTCCCATCTCTCCATGCTGGACTTGGAGAGTGGTGACAGCGGAGCGAAGCTGAAACCGAAAGGTTCAACAAAGGAGCCGACATCTGGCCCCACACCTGGAGGAAATGTCATTAAGATCGAGACCAGAGAAGGTGGCATTTTCATTCACACTTGTTGCCATGGTTCAAAGATGTCAAAATTAATGGACAGAATTGACATTGGGAGCACGAAAGACGATGCTTTGCAAGAACCTCAGACATTCCCCATCCCCTGCAGGTAGCATGAACTCGGACACCATCACTTACTTCTTCTCTGGCTCAGAGGAGATGCCGCTGATTACAGTGGAAGAGACCAAACTCGATGGGCCTTGTACGCACTCCACCGGCTTGACGGTGACCATCCAAGAGCCTGGTGCCTTGGACCGAACACGTCTTCGAGGAACCGAAGACCGAGCGACGAGGCGACGAGCTACCTGTGATGATCTAAAAATGACCATTAGATACCCATGCCCGCCCTATAGGGAAATTAGGTATATACCTTCTCAGGTACCGGTGATGTGGAACATGTGTTATGCTTTGGGCCCAATTGTTCCCGGCCGTGCGGGCCCCGTGCGGGATGTGCCTCCGGTGCCTCCACTGGTGACGGTGCGGACGGTGATTCCAGGCATGGAGGAGTTGAGTTGTCATCAGCATCACTCCCGGGTGGAGAAGAAGGGGCCTCCAGGCTACGATGAGAGCGAGCAGGCCAGAGATGTCAGCACGGATGAGAGGAGAGCGAGACATGTTGAGTTTGGACCATGATGGAGAAAGGAGGATCAATGAGATTCCTGATTCCTGTGTTTGAAGCTCTTTAAGGTGTTTGTTGCGCCCACACAAAAGCGGGACATGCCAGGTCCGAACGCACTGGCGGGTGGAGGAATCGACCGATCGTGTGGAGGAATCCTACGAATCCCATGTAAATCATCCACCAGGTAGTTTGGCTTTCTGGGTGTCCGACGACTGGACTGTAGAAGGCGCAGAGGGGAAGGAAGCAGAGGGATTACAGTAGCTATAGAAAAATGCGTTCACATGGGGGGGAATACACCAAAGGGACACAGAGGACATTGTCAACTCCCTGTACTAGTCAGGGATCTCCAAGCAGGACCCAGACAGGATTCTCCAGTTCATTTCAGATCGCCTTTTCCTGATTTCTCCGCCGAAGGCTCCACCGCATCTTCCACATGCCACCGAACCAACACCGGCCTCACCGGCACCGACCGGGTCGAGTCCGTCTCGAGACGAAGGCTCCGTCTCGTCGCGCGTCTCTTCCGCAGGTCACGGGCGAACCTCGGGCGGTGAAGGCGAAGCTGCAGGAGATCGCCACAGTCCTGGAGAAGTCCGACGCTTGGACGCGCGATGTGGTGCGCGATGCTGTTCTGGCCGTGCTGGCGGCCGTGCTGGCTCGGCTGGGCTCGGGGGTGGGTGCGGATGAGGGTGGTGAACGGCCAGGTGCGGCGTTCCGGTGTGATGTGCGGCTGTTGGAGAAACGAGAGATCGACGTTTTCAAGTCAAAGTTCGGAGCAAAGGTTTGATTCCCAGACGATCCATGTAATTACATGTCAATATGATATGACTATATGACCTACATACACCACCAATCACCACCAAATGTAGGCCATATTATGCCGCTTGCATGGATCGTTTGGGATTGGCATGTTCTGAGATTCAGATGTTGGGATAGGTCGGTAGGGCTGCTAACCCGCAACCAAAGGCTATGAGGTTATTATCCGAATGGTCGAGGTCCATAGGATTTTGAAGGACACACTCCTTGCGAGGGTGTTCACAATAGTATGGTATCATAATATCATATCATTATATATACATATATGTATATATAATACACCTTCGCAACCCATTACCTTCCTTTTTTGGGTGGAGGAAAAAGTAGCTTGTGTTGAATAATTTTTGCTGAATACTTTGAATATTTTAGCTGTGTTCATTATTGGAACCAATGGCATGATTGATGTTTGAGGGCCCAAGGTATTATAGGACGACATCAGGTAGGGGAAGACCCTTGAGGGATGTTTTGGTGCATTCCGTCAACCATGGACCCACCTGGAATGTATGCCTACATTGACCACTCTAGCCACCCCAATGTAGGTAAATACCTGGAACTTCGTTACGGCAATAATAATTGCCGTCTTCATGAAACGTCGCCTTTTTCCGTTCTGCGGCGTTCTTCCATATTGATCGCATGGGGAATGAACTGCGGCAGTTTCGGTCAGTTGACGGCAATTTTGGTCCACACATCCATGCGCCTTATTCACATAGGCCGTTACACTCACCAAGTATAGGACACTCTGCGAGACCCAGGAAAAGTTTCGTAATAAAACTCTTGACCGCACCTCTCTAACCACATCCACAGACGCGCCCGATCCATGCTCGGTTACTCCCATGCTCGGTTACTCCCTTATTAAGTAATATTTGCTATCTTCTACGTGTGAAAAGACTGTTATATATTTGAAAAAGAACGTTGCCCTGAAGTCATAAGGCAAAAAGGCCTGCTTTGCAGCAAGAGCCCAATGTGTACCTTGAGCCAAAATGGCTACAGTGCCCGCACATGTGCATCTGTCTTGACTTAGCTGCTGAGGTGGTGGACTTCAGATCTACGTCAAATCTATATGCGCTGCGTCACTAGAAACAACGCGGAGTTGAAACACTTGCATACGACCTGCGAGATTTCATATGCCCACCGTTATTCACCGTTATTAGCATTGCTGGAAGAAATCCACCGTTATTGCTAATAACGGTGAATAACGGTGGATTTCTTCCAGCAGTGCTAAGACCTGCGCGATTTCAAACGCTGTTTGTTGGGCCGAGGCCCGCGTAAAAATTGCAAGAATGACCTTGACGATCAAATTTGACGGGAATTGGAGTAGTTTTCAACTAGCAAACAGCGCACCTCCGCTAAGCGTCACTGATAGCGCTATTGCCCCTTCCGCAAGGATACTATGATAAGGCATCTGGGTATTTTTGTCTACAAACCTTGTGAGCGCCTGAATAAGTATCCGCCAAAAGAAGAGTCAGAATCACTACATCATCTGTCCTGGGTATGCGACAATTTGGAGCGCAAAGCTCCGCAAAAATTGACAAAGTCACATTGATGCGTCCCATTCACGGCAACCTTTAGTAAAAGGCGAAAGATTGGTGCGCTATGAAGTGAACGATGTGATGACTACATTGGCTTTCCTTGGCTTTCATGCCACAGAGATTCTACACGCCCCTCCATCATAGCCATTCCGTGATCATTTTGATCCAGGAGTCAGATGAGCATCTTGATGAGTTGACACGCATACGCGCATCTAGCTCCGTCCTCAGCTATTTGTTACCCCATAGGGTGTGCTGCCACTGGCTCAGTGCCATGCCAGCGCAACACGCCAAGGCCCCCAAGCAAGCTCAGGAAGACACTTCCCCAACAAAAATTGATGTGACAAGCAAGTCTCCAGTTGGAGACATATCAGTTGTCACACTGATAAGAACAGATACTACACTTGATCATAGCCAAAAGGCCGAGAAGGTATGATTGTCCTCGCCTCCTGGCCTCTTCCTGCGAGACTATGTTAGCCAGCCTCGACCAATCAACAGGCCACAAGTAAGTTTTAGTGCAGGCGAGTATGAAAGCATTGTAGGGTCTTGCTTGAATGGCAACTGAACGTAAAAGGCGTCTTAGTATATCAGCAAACTCGCATAGTCATGAAGTGGAAAGGGCAGCTGATGGAAGTGTCACATGCTGGGTTTTCGTCGGTTTTCGCGAGTAGCTCGACCTCTTGCACGGCGTTGCAGAAGATTTTGCGTTTAAAGTTACGGCGTTCTTACCCGTACTTGCGGCCTTTTTCCCCGTACTTACGGCGTTTTTCCCCATACTTACGGCGTTTTCCCCCTACTTACGGCGTCGTTCCCTTACCCTGTCTAGGGTCACTCAAGGTGGCAGCAAGACTTGTCACTAACATGTCACAAGCGATCCTTTCAGCCATTGCGTGATCAAAATGTGAACAAATCCTGCCGTGATGTCAATCGAGACCTTAGACAAGGGTGCAACATCTTGAGAAGTGCTACCATGAGGCTTGAAAACGATGAGCTCTACTTACAAGTGAAAAAGGAGAAGGCAATTTCAGGGTATGGACGGACCAAAACAATATCCTCTTTGGTAGATCAAACAAAACGGTGATTCTTCTTTTGTGACGGCGTTTTCACTTTCCAGGGATTGAGCTACGGCAGAAAAAATGAGTTACGGCAAAAAATATTGCCTCAACAGCCTACGGCAAAAAATAATGCCTCGGGAGGGTCTAGGTATATGCCATATGTGGAGCGTTTGGGGTACATTGTGCCATCCAAGATCACTGCAAGTAGTCAGTACTAGACTTGCATGTGTTTGGAAGACACTTCGCTATTTTCGGAGGTTTCCACAAACAGTTGCCTTCCGACCTGCCCCATGGTAGACACCCTGAGGAGAGCGTGGACAAGTTTTTGGACCTCTTTCCTGGCGCATTCAAGATTCGCCAGCTCTTGAACAGCGAACCTGACAGGGAATGTAAAGTCGGGCCCAAGAAACTGTCTTGAATGACAATTAAAAACTGGAATGAGGAGGAGCTGCAAGTGGCTCTTGGCTGCCAAGAAACATACATCGACATGTGTAATTATACATATTGTAGACTCATTAATAAAACCTCCCATATTGGAGAGGTGTTACAATCCACATGGAGGGTTAACAAAACCTTTGTCCTTCAATCAATTACTGCAAATTGCATCAATTCCTAGGATGTGTTTTATATAGTGGTGACACCTAACGTTGTGAAGACGGAGGGGCCCCGTGTGGCATCCCACGCGCGTCTCTGCGCCGCGCGCTGAAACCGCGCGCCGCCGTGCTGATCTTTGAACAGCGATCCGTGACCGCCGTGAAGATCTCGGTCCAAGACCGAGGGATCCACGGACATTGCTTCGAGCAAAAACAAAAGACAACGGTAATGACCTGAAGGAGGGCAAGGACGCGCATGGTCCGACAGGATCAAACAGGTCCGTTCTGAGTTCTGAGAGGTCCGTATTCTGGTTGGTTTCAGATCATTGATAATTCATTATTAGCTATGTTCAAGCTTTACTTGGGACTTGGGATATGTTGGGATTCTTGAACTCACTGACACACTGACAAATGCTTTTCTAGTGAGTTGAAATCATGCACAATTCGTTGTGCAGCATGAAAGCACGAATTCATGACGATTTAATACCAGAAACTTCCAACAGATGCAATTCTTTGTGGCCTTAAACATTGCAGTTGGTGACCAAATGGAGGGTGATGATAGACAGCACAGCAGACCAGAATTTTCAGCACGAAATCCTGGGATCCTTCCGGACAGTCTGCTAGTCGACCGGTGGGCTGCAGACAGTCCTTTGGATGGAAGTGAGACAGCTGGGCCTCAAAAGCCACAGATCCCACGACAGTTCTTCTTAGGTCGTTGCCGACACAGCGGACACACCAGTGGTGCCGGTGAGTTGATTGAAGCAGTGGTCGATTTGCACAAACATGTCTCATCAGCAAAGCTATCCCAATATCGAGGTCCTTGAATAAAAAGAAAACCGTGCTCAATTTGTGTTGGTATATTGCAGTATAAGTTTTGTAGAGCCAATCGCATCCACAGAGCCTCTAACCCAACATACCATAATTTGTAAGGTGTCCAAATGGGGATTCACATGCCTACAGTACTAGCTGCTTCCGAGGAATCACCTGGCTGGAAGACCCTGCCCTAGGGTGTCGACTGGATCTCCAGCCAGAACATTCCTTCGGATGATCCATGATAATGTTGGTATTCTATTTTGGATTAATCCTGGTATTCTATTCTATCTTGATTGTCAATGATCTCTTGTTTATCCTCTTTTGTATTCTATCTTGGGGTCGCCAATGGAATCTTCCTCTGTTTGAAGTCCCTGGACCATGAAGTCGCATTGTTCTCCAAACTCACCGGCTTTGAACTGAACGCCAGGTTCGCCAGCAAGGCAGCGAACATTTTTCGGGTTGAGCAGAAGAGATGGAGAAGTGAAGGGTCATGAAGGGTCGAAGCTGTCTTTTTTGTACTATTTTTGACATATACAGTATCAGTATGATCATGGATTATCATGGATCATCCAACAAAAACTGGTTAATCTATCGTTATTTTTGCTTTTGGTTTTCTTTTTTGGATGCAACACACCGAGTCGATGGACGGACAGTTGCTGGACGGTTTTCAGCGACATGCTTTGGCTGCTTTAACATGTCAACAATGAACGACCGTTGATTCATGGCGCGGTATACCTCACCATGAATGACATTGAATGACTTGATGCCTTTTAAATCAACACTACATGTTTGGCCTGCTTTCAACCAGTTTCCGAGTTCACCCTAGGACGGGGTCAGAGGTCAGGACATCAGGAAGTCCGACCACGAGACCGTTCAGAGGAAGCCGAGACCTATATGCTGGAGTCCTTGGATGATGCTCCCACAGAGGCCCTGACTGAAGGGAGGACGGAGGGTGCGAGGGTGTGACTTTTACCAGAACAACAGTGGTAGTGGTGGAGGCGTGGTGAAATATGATGAAGTTGTTGGTGAGGTACACCACCTTATCGTGGAGCATCGCCGAGCGCCCTGAAGAAGGGGGTGTCCAGGACGTTCGGACAGGGGAGAACCCTGACGTCTTTGTGAGGATCGTCAAGTAACTGGTGAAAGGCATTCCAAAGGGCCCAACTGATAGATATCTCTGAAAAGCATTTGCAAAAGAGTAAAGATTGAAACAATTTAAGCCAAATTTAAGCACAAGTTCATCACTCTTTCTACAGGGGTTCTCACCACCTGTTCTGTCTCCAATGAACTCTGGATTCTTTTCAATGTGTGTTCCACTGATGACATAGTTAATTAGATGAGTTAACTTGTGTCCAAATGCAATTGAAGAAGCAGTCAAGAATCACTTAATTTAAAACAACAAAAAAAACAATAGTTAGTACAATAGACAATAGTTATATATAACAATTATTTTCCAATGGCCCATCACAATCCGTTGCCCAAATGTCGCAAGGCCTTTCTACAATCCATTCCTCCCAAACGAGTAAGCACCAATTGAAGGAGCAGTCGAGGAGCAATTAAAGGTCCTTTTCCATGGCGCACTCATCATCTCGTTGTGCCCAAATGTTGCAAGGCCTGTCTAGAGTCCATTCCTCCCAAAAGAGTACGCAGTATATGAAGAAGCAGTTGAGAAACAGACACCAAACACAAGATTTGCAGCAAATTTGTATAAAGTTGTGTTCATTTGCCCAATGTCGCTAAGAAAATAAAGGTGTTTTGTTCGCGTTTGTTGAGTACAATGCAGAACCAATTAAACGGGAGTTAATTCTTCTATAAAAGATCCAGTTCCCCCAACCTGAGAACACTTGAATCTAAAGTGAATTCTTTCAAAGTTGGGCCTTCACTGCCTAAAAGCAAAACATTGGCACATCCTACCTGTTCATACCTGTTCCAAGACCATGTTTTCAACAGAACATGATTCTCATGGCCCGGTGGATCCTTGTGGTTTCCAAAGCCGGCGTCCAGGTCATGGATGTGGGGGCCATCGGCAGCATGGGTTCGGAGGCCACGGGCCGCCGGTTCGGCGACACGGTTCGGCCGTGCAGGGTTCCAAACCGTCGCTGTTTTGCTGGAAAACAGCTGATGCACCAGCTTCATTGACACAGAAATGCGCCGTTGTTCTTCATGACCCAACAGGAAGTGGATGAAACGGAACACAAATCCCATACATTGGAGGTTGTACGGGAGTTTACATCCCCCGGCCCCAAGACCACATTGAACCTCACAAAGGTCACAAATGCTCACTCCTGTGGCTCAATGACCGCCATGCTCAACACCCAGCAAGAGATATTGATGTTTGTGACAAAGTGCATGCATCCTGACTCAGCTTCTCTAAGAAATAATAACAAGAAGCTACTAGGTGGAGGCCATCGTTATTCGGTTGGAGGCCATCGCTACTAGTAACTACTAGCTTCTTGCTACTAGTATTAAAGTGCATCCTCACTCAGCTTCTCTAAGAATAGCTGGGAATGTTTTCAGGAAAGTTTGGCCGTGAACACCAGACCAGGTCTATGATGTGTCGTCATCATTGATATACTGTAACTTCGAGGGAACGGATAGCATTATCATTCATGTGTGCTGGGCCTCCACCTTCCTAACACCTTTGGTGAACATCCTTGCGTCAACAGGACATCCTGGAGGACACCTTCCCCACTGCCGCCCAATGGCAGTACGGCAGGCGAGTGGGGTCGACGGACCAGCCGGCAGGCGGCGGTGTCTCCAAGCCTTCTTTCAGATCCTTTTGGCAAATCAGTAAATCTTTGTTTAAAGGGCCAGATGGTGCCAACTGTTTTCCAAATCTGTCCAAAAGGATCCAAAAGGACTTTCCAAAGTGTTGGTTCTATTTTGGTGTTTTGAGGTCACCAGAGTATTTCTAGGGCAATCTCACCCACACCTGCAGCAGACTAGTGACTAGATGTAAGAAGCCATTGACGTAGTTTGATTGTTTCCCACTCCCTGGAGGGCAAGCTTATCCGGAAGGGATCGGCAGATCGCATAGTTGGAAGGGATCTTAGTTTTTATATACTGTATATATTATATATTGTTTTATGATGTTTGGTGTATCGGTACAGTTGCTTTCTGCATATTGAGCTCATTTAAACTTAATTTGCTGGTGCCTTTCATCTAGAGTTCCTTTGCTGCGGCTTGCACATTTGTAGTTTCGTGCTTGCTGGTCAAATATGAAGTACATGTCAAAGGTAGTCCCGTCAAGTCCCCCTTTTTCCCAGACATCATGTACAAGTACGTACATGTCGGCTCTCACTTGTAGTTGGTGCACGCTTGAGCCTCAACGCCCAAGTCCACGCCCAGTCCACCCACAGGTCGTTGGTCAGAGAAACTCCACGTATTCAAGCGACCTTTCAGAATTTACCGGCCGTGGCTTCTTTTGGAAGGTCTTTGGAATCGCAAAACGGTTCTTTAGGGAACGCATGTTTACTGGTCTACAGTAAATATATATACTGTATATATATATTTTTTTTTGGGGAGGTTCTTTATGTTTCTTTAGAGTAACTCTTCGCAGGCTGCTGGCTCGATTATACGGCTGTTTGAAACGTTGAAAACTCTTATATTGACTTATTATTTAGATTTATATTAATACAATGTTTATTCCTTTCAGGGAATCCCTTACTATTGAGATTTGCGTATGTTTGGGTACTCCCATTGCATGTGTTCTTCCTACATTCACAAGCTGACAGACTGCATTGTGAGGTTGCTGCGAAGTTTTATGATTATAACGACGATGATGGTGAGATAGTGGTGGTCAATCACAGCTGAATCACAACTAGTTTGTTTGCAATTGTGACCATGATGAAGCATGCATGGTGATTCTCATGATGAAGCAGATGGTCAGGTGTGTGGCTCTAAAGCTTGTGGCCCACAGTCCGTATGGCAGCAGTGTGCAGCCCTCAGAAGCGTGCTCACCGTCAACTGAGGCACATGAAACATAAATATTCCAATCTCTTGGACATTTGGTGTACACACACAACGCCAAAACTCCAAGTTGGCAGGGTCACCATTTGTCCCTACCAACAAGTTGTTGTTTTCGACAAACAAGCGAGTCGGAGTGGACTTCATAGTTAGATCCAAGCTTAAGCTTACCCTTACCTAGCTGTTTCTTCCAGCATGAATTTCCAGCATCATCTGCAACATGTGAGATGTCCCGGTCACGCTCTTTCTCAGAATCAGAATCATCATCTCCCTCATCATCCATGTTGCCTATTTATAGTCATCTGATGAAGTTTGATACGGGCGGAGCATGGCAGAGCATATCCAAGTTACCAATTGTCAAAACTGCGGGGTAGCTGCTCAGATTCTGTTCAATCCAGGATGACTCTTTAAACAACCACCGTCACTTTGGAGATCCCGACCACCATCAGTCATGAGGCTTATGAGCAGCTCTTGTCGGTGCTACTCA